CCGTATGGCGATGAGCTAGGCCGAATCCAGCCTTTCTCTAGAAGGTCGTCGAGTTGTGCCCGAAGCACACTTAACTCTTCCTCGCTCATTCGGTAGATGCAACCGCGCGGAGGTACGGCCCCGTCCTCGAGGATGATCTCGTGGCGGATGGGTCGATCCGGTACTACTCCGTGCGGGCCTTCGAACACGTCGCTGTAGGCGCCGAGAAGTTCGGTGATGCGTGGATCCGAAGGTGAGTCCGTCGTTGAAGCGTCATGTGGCGGGAGGGCATGGAGAAAACACACCCCCATCTCCTCGATGTCGTCTCTGATGATGGAAGCTCGCATGCTTGCGGCGGATACCACGTGGCAGTTGATCGAAGGATGAGGAAGAGGCACCGTGCATGGAACTAATACTCCGTTCCGGTCACGAACGTGAACGGTGCGGTTGAAGAAGTTCATCGGGTGATCCTTGCTTCGCAGCCATGACATGCCCAAGATCATGTCGAATTTGGTGTCCAGAATGTCAAAGGACACTGCCTCACTCGCGTGAGGGGCAAAGTACACTGGGACGGTGTCAATGCACCGGTCGATGGACTTGTGCGTATGACCGTCTGCTAGAGTGACTTGCGTAGGCTGGGACTTCCTCCGGACACGTGGGCCAAGGCCGGCGCGTACCATGAAGTCCTGGCTGATGTAGTTGCGAGATGCTCCGCAATTGATCAAGGCACTGCAGGTCGCCTCTCCGATCTGAATGCGTACGTATAGCAATGGTGCGTCGATGTCGTCGTACCGTTGCGTCTTGAACTCGCGGTCGATCTTCGCGATGTAAACGTGAAGGTCGACAACCTCTACTCCGGCGTCCATCAACGGAGCTGGTACTGCAGTGTGCAAGTAGTCCCGCAATTGTGCCATAAGCACGTTGCAATGCGGTTTCGGCAATCGTCCGTTCCAAGGAACGGGCATCCACTGGAAGTCCGTGAACGTCAACGGGTCGAGCTCATCCAGTCTTTACCATGACGTCGAATCCCCGACAATAGATTGCGGCGAAGCTGCCGAATCGTTTGCCGATGGTGATGAAACCGTGCATGCGGTGGACTGTTGCACGTGGAGTGGTTGGTCCAGCGGTGGAACCAAGTGGACAGCATAGTCCTCGTAAGTGTACCGAGGACTTGCGACATTCACATCCTCCCCAGATGTGCAGGAGGCCGCTAGCAAGGCGGCCGAATCTAGCGGAGTAGAAGGTGGAGTCGCCTCACCTTCCGCGGAGCTCAGTTTCCCGAGTTCAGGCGGGGTCGCACATCCTCCTTGCCCTGATCTTGGCACAGGGAGGTCTTGTGCTTGGTGCTGTTGCACCAATAGCAGCTGTCGTAGCGGCCGCGGACCTTGTACTCCGCCTCGGTCAAGCCAAACTTGACCCATGAAAATTGTCCTAGCTGTCCATTTTCGGCCTGCGATGCGGATTTCGCCTTCCCATTGTTGCGGGACTTGTTGGTGCTTCGCGGCTGGACAGCGGCCACCTGATCTCCGTCACTTGATGCTGGAGTGGCTGTTGGGTTATCTCCACTGTCCTGCTGGACTGCAGCGAAGTGCTGCTGTCGCGAACCAGTTCGTACCTTCTCCACATACGTCGGCTGCCATGATGTCGATTTCTCGTGTGCAGCTGACCTGTTGGTCTTGATGATCTCCCTTGCTTTGTCAATTATCTCAGCAAAGGTTGAGTACTGCTCGCGATCACCAAGAGCCTGGCTCAATGCAACACAGGACCTATTGTAGAACTCACGGCGTAGATGCTCAAATGGTAAGTTCAGATTGGGCACAGCCGCAATCTTCTGCCACTCCGTGAGCCAGTCCCGTGTTGCTGTGTTGCCCTGTGACATGGTGAACAAACGGTTGATGGCGAGTGTCGGCGCGTCGTCGACGATGAACCGCTTCTTCCACAGCTATGTCAGTTCCTCCCATGTGATTACGTCCTTCAAGTCTGGTACGTCGACGCCGTGGGAGGTTGCCAGGTGGCTCAACCAGGTCTGGCATCCGCCCTTTGAGTTCAGGAACAGGGCGCCGATGTACGCNAATCCTGAGTTGCGTTGTGAATGCTTCCCACCAGAGGACCGGATCCTGCTGCGTGTAGTCGTCGAACCTCTCCAGATTGAAGGTTGGCATCTTATACATCTTCGGATTGCCATCCCCGTTCGTCGTCTGCAGCTGCTGGACCTCGGTCTTCAATGTATGCAGCTGACTGCTGATGGTGGTGGTCGRCGCAGCGAAGGTGCTGATGTCGCKGAGCATTGCCACTACGTGGTCAACGCGGTCCTCCAGTTGGCGGCTYGAGGGTGCACTGCTGGAAGCCCCARCAGTTGGTCYTGGTACAGCCTGTTCCAGGTCCARCAATCGGGCATTGAGTGCCCGGGTTGCATCCTCGTGGCTCTGCACCATGCRGCGGAGCTGTGCCAACTCCTGATGCTGTTGCRTCAGGTCCTGGTACTGTCTCTCCAACTCTGACCGTTGGTAGTTGCAAGCATACAACAACCGCGTCACGAGTTTGGAGAGGAACTCCTTGTGCTTCTCTTCYGGTGTTGCCTCGTCGCCGTTTGGTTCAAAGTGCCAGAACTTGAGTCTGTCGGTGCTTGTGGCTTCATGCCGTTGTAGCAGATCCTGGGCTTCCTTGCGGCGAGCCTGGGAGTCTGCGTCTGCATCGGCCTGTAGTCGCAGCTTCTCTGCTGCTGCTGCCTCTTCAGCCTGTACGCGGGCAGCCTCGGCTGCCAGCTGGCGTTGTTCCTCAGCCTCGATCTGAGCCAGGCAACGCTGCTTGTAGGCGGCAATAGACTCGTTGGGCAGTTGCCCTGGCAGGCCCGTCATGTTGCTGACGTGGCACTTTGTCTGATGTGGCACTCTGTCCGACGTGGCACTGCTGATGTGGCATTGCTGATGTGGCACTGCTGATGTGGCACTGTCTGACGTGGCACTGCTGATGTGGCACTGCTTACGTGGCACTGTGTCTGACGTGGCACTGCTGATGTGGCACTGCTTACGTGGCACTGTGACCTGGTACTGCTGACGTGGCACTGCTGATCTGGCACTGTGTCGTGGCACTGCTGACGTGGCACTGCTGACGTGGCACTGTGACGTGGCACTGCTGACGTGGCACTGCTGATCTGGCACTGTGATGTGGCGCTGCTGACGTGGCACTGTAATGAACCGGGATGCATGCAAGGGGTGGGTGGGAGGGAAAACGTAGGTAGGTAACCAACCCAACAATACTTTCCTCCGGCCCTAATCAACAGATAAAATAAAAGAATAAAAAATAAAAGAGGACTACTTCCTT